GTTTTGATGTTTACCTTGTTTTCGAATTTGTCTGCTTATTTTGGGTTGTTTCCTTTTTTCCTTGTTACAGTTGTTGCGAATCCTTGAAACAATATTGGGGTGAAGAGGTATAGATGATAGAAGAACGTAGAGGAGTTGGCCAGCCCCTTGTAATGGAAACTGGGTTTGATTTCGGACTGTGCTGAGAGGTATCAAGTATAATAAACCATGTGATGGTATGTAGATATTCCGATGGGTAGGAGGAACTTAAAAAACCAGTGATGCTTTTCAGGTTTCATTTCATTTCATATATTGTTTACTCGACATTTAATCTTGGAAACAGCAGAGCATCTTCATGGTTTTGCAGCAGCAGAAGCAACTCAGATGAAATTTTACCATGTTTTGGTGTTCAACACGATTTGCATACGTAAGGGACGTTCCTCAGTGTCTTCTAATTCAGTAGTTAAATTCAACTGCTTCACCACCCTCCATTTGGGAAGCGGGAATCATTTTCAGCATGGTTTTATGTATTCCCCTACTATCAATTGTGCTATCTTTGAATATTCGGTCGTGTTTTTTTCAAAGCGTATCAGTTTGACAATTGCGAAGGATCGTCGTGGGCAGGTTGACACCAACGATTGTTTTGCTTGTGTTCTGCATTCAAATTTCGGTTTTCTCAAGTAAGGTTGTAGAATCCTAGTTTAGAAATCGCATTTGTAGCATTGGAGGAAATTCATGTTTTTTAATTAGGTTAGCAAAAACGTTACTTTAGGTTTTTTTTCGTACGTTGCTTTTTAACTGATAGATAATCGGTGGAGCGATACAGTGAATCAAAATTATGTGTGACATATTTATTTTATCACCTGTGGTTGGTATTTCCGTAAGCAGAATTGGGCATTCGCCCTATCAGAAGAATTCCATTTTTATTCTCTGTCAAAAACTTTTCTTGACAAATTTCTGTGTAGTAGTTGATCGTAGTTGGTCTTAAAGTCTAGATTGACAACTAGTTAGCATCGCATTTCAATTACCAGCAAATCCGCATTTTCAAAGGACTGTCTTGAAGGAATGAATGGCATTGCTGGTGGACATCGAAGAGACGGTGAAAAAAAACCGGTTGTTCTTGAAACCTAAATTTGAAAGCAGCCAATTGTCGTCCAGTTGGTTGTGCTAAACTTAAAGATATCTATATGGAAAGCTTCCGTTTAGAATAAAGAATTGATAGTTCTGGACAGGTTCATAACTGTGGTAGACATGTTTCATGAGATAAAATGTTATAAATTTTTAATGGTAGTGGGCAATGAAGAGGTTCTGCATTGTTCACAACATACTCTCTTTTTTAATGATTGCAACTAAAAGCATTTAAAATATGGGAAGTCCATGAGTTAAAGCAGTTCAATTGACCAAATTTGTTAATGATGTAAATATGACAAATGATTATAGAAAAGCACCCCGATTAGCAGATTGAAAATTCATTGGACATTTATTGAATTTATTTAAATGAATTTTGCTGATTCATGTTTCTTAACCCTCTAAATATATCGTAAATACCTAATGGTTTGTCACTTCCTGATGTGAGCGCTCTTATTATTAAGCTTTTATTGAAGTTAGTGATATTGGTTTAATTGGCTTACCTAGATTATTTTTTCCAAAGTATAAAACTGATTGCTTTTCAGAAAATTTGAAGCTCTTCTTTCACTAATTCTATTGGAAAATTATGCAGTAACTGATCCAGCTTTTGAATTCCGTTATTTTTAATTCTCGTTAGAATTTGACACATCGTTCCCGATGTAGAATATTTTCTTGGTAGAAGTAAAGGTTTGAGTACATTGGTTGAATATTGTGCTATAATCGAACAAAGGACTTCAGTATTAGAAAATGGTGTTTATTTCAGAAATTCATGGAAATAACAAAGGATAGATTGCCACATCTACAGCATTGACATCCAGTGCCTAAAAGTTCTATGCAACACAAACGTAATTTCATTACACCAATTACAAATGAATATTAATTCATGAAAAAGAATCTTTAGTAATGCTGATGGTAATTCCAAAGCCGTAATATTGGTTTTAAAATCGGCAAATGCTTCGATGGTTTTGACCACAAAGGTCTTGTCCATTAAAGTCTAACCCACAATTTCTAACAGTAAATTTGATGGAAGCTTTAATGCACCGTCCGCCATCCCTGGTCATGGTAAACAAGGTGAGGTGCCTCCACTAATTGACAGAACATAAGCCGCCAGATTAACCCTTGCTGCTGTTCAATCTATTGAAAACAAAACAGATCTCTTGTCGGTTCTAAGAGTTAATATTGATTTATATTAATTCATTGCAATATTTCTTGTTTACAGATTAAATTTTAATCGTCTAACATTTCAATTATTCTTTTAAAAATAATTATTTTCCTTTTCTGACCATTGTCTGTACTTGAAATGATGGTTTTGTTAATGACAACAGTTTAATTTGCCAAATACTTGTCTCCTACTTATCGCAGCTTCTTAACAAATTGACAGTTTGAATTTTCTCAGGAAAGTCAATGATTTGATGGCTCGAATTCTTTCACTACCCATAACAATGTGAATAATTTATCTTCATTTTCGATTGATGTTACTAGACGTTTTGCTTAAAACAGATTGAAAAAAGTTAAGTTCCTTTGTGCCTACCAACTGGCAATGGTATTTTCTATTGGTCCCAAAACAAAAACCAAAAACCACCTGTGATTTGGGTAGAACAAAAAGACAAAAATCTGCTCCAGAAAGATTTAATCGTTTTCCGGTGAATCTGGATTATACCCATATCAATTACCCAAGGGTTGTGCCCAAAAATTGGTGATAATTTACGAACCCCCTGGATGCTCATTTTGAACAAGTTTGTGAATATTGCTGATTGCATTGTGAAGAACCAGTGAAACAATGTTTATTTCAACAATGATGATTGAACAATAGATCAACAAAAAGACGTTACATGGCTTGCATATTTGCAGGAAGTGATTAAACTGATGTCTGCTGTTTTTGAACTTTGTCTTGAAAATTTAATTATCACCTGCCCCACTATATGATATAATTTCCGTCGAATTCTCACTTTTGAAAATGTTCTGCAAAATTGATGATTCGAACAAGGGGGCTTATTCCATAAATGGTAGTAAAAGCAGGCCAGATTATATAACTGCAAAAGCCTTGTAATCTAATGATTTAACTAGATTACATCCAATTGAGTGGTTGCCGCATTTTGAAAAATTGTTTTGTTAATTCATCAAGTTAGGATGTGATAAAATGTATAAAAAGTTTTGCAGCAGGATATTTAAAGATTATGTCATACAAATAGTTTGGGACATCAAACCACCGCCTTTGCAAATTCATTCATAAATCGGAAGGATTATTATTTGACTGGGCAAAAAGATCAACACAAGAAACTACCATATTTTCAATCAACCATTACAGAGAGTTATTGTCGATTTGGATTCTCTTCCTAGATTTAGTTACCTAATTATTACCCATCGAATACTCTACTGTCCTGCCCTTTGGAATTGCAAAAAATGATTTTTAAATTTGTTAAAATGGGAATTGCTTTTTAGTCTCATAGGTTCCGAATTATTTGAAATCGTTGTTCAAAGAAGTCCACAAAGATATTTCAGATATTTTGGTACCATCTAATTTAACCAGGGAGAATTCATTTATTTTAAAACATAAGGATAACCAAATATTTGTTAGTCATTCATCAAAAGTCTTTCCTTAGGATATGCAGATCAATTGAGTCCAAGAATAATCAGGATTTTCTAGATGTCCTGGTTGCCAGCGTTGGAGCTTTGTGGATTGGCACATTATTCAAATTGAATAATTCATCCCCATTAACAAGTCGTTTGACACATCCATAAATTAATCAAATTATATTTGAGTCCATTCAAAAGTCAAAAAAATTGATGGAGATGCTGAAGGTGTTAACTCACGAGAGCGATTCAATTGAACAACAACAACCGTCGCAATTGTGCCCAAATTTGAAGCAAATAATGCCTGCCGTTAAATTGATCCAATTCCAAAGACCGCAAGATCAATTCTGATTAAGTCAAATTGAGTTCTCGGTAAATCAGTCAATATCAATTGGCCAAACATTGAAACCCATAAATTTAAATTAAATCAATGACACAAGCTATTGTTTTCAGAAAAAAGCTTATTTTCACGTCAATTCGCACTCACAGGAAAAACCCAGTTACTAAGATGTTGAATTTCAGTGCCATATATTAAGGAAAGATTATAGAATCGTTTTAACGCCGGCACCTCTTATGCTGACATTCCATTTGTGGATGATGATGAACAGCTAATGGGTTAGGAGGGGATGTATATGATACTCAATTTTATGTTGATGCGATGTATCTCTCATTACCTAGGCTTAAATAATTCAAAGCGATCGCTGGCGAAATACTTCGTATTAGTAAAAATTTGATTAGCATACTCCTTAACCGAAATTTTTTCAGAGGCAGGGCGGACAACACAAAATTGGTTTATCACACTAATGAAAAATTTGATTGAAGTGAATTGTGGCAGAAAACATTGATTGGTAACTGGTGCTTGAAACCATCGAATCTCAACTCTATTGTTTTTTTTCCCTTTATTTACTCCCATGTATTTCTACGTACGATCAGAAATATGCGGTTAGGTGATTATATAATTTATTTACTTTTCATTGGTTCTTGTGTGTACAAGGTTATTCCCAGAGTTAGTGTCCCCTTTTCATTTTATCAGATCGAAAAATTAGACTACTTTGGGGAGGTTTTCTCTGTCAATCTGGTGGGATCAACTCTCTTGATTATCATTGGTCAACCAATGATTCGCAACGCATTCCGGGTAATGTTATCAGTTGAAATATTCAACATTTGTTTGAACTGCCCATCGAAGCAGTAAATCTCTTTGTAGATGGTCAAGTTCATTATTTAAGCTAGGTTGGTCGTTATGGTTCTAAATCAACTGCCACAGAACGTTTGGCAATATTAAAACATGGCTTCTATAATTCAAGAAACAAAATTTGGAATTAGTTTAGCACTCTCAAGAGTATTTTTGTGAAGGATTCCAAATTCACGTCATGACTATTTTCCCCATTCCCGCTTAACCACTCCGAGTGTTTGATTTCAATTAATGTGGATATAGTGCCAACTGTGACAAGGTCGAAGAGGACCTTGATTTTCTACCAAGGTTCTTAGCACCTACATCAACATTATAGATTCAAGATCACTAGAAATATTTCCTAATATTAATATTGAAAACCCTCAAACCACTTACATGATTTAGATAAGTTACAAGACTCAACAAATATGTACACTCTTAGGTTTGAAGGGAAAAACCTACAAAGTGCCCATGTTGGACCTATGAGAATGATGCCCAATCAAAATCTTTCATGATAGTGATCATTCACTGTAGAAACGAAGCTTTGATGCATTGATATTAATGGTTGACTCATTAGTCTTCACTCGAAATAACCTAAGATTTTGAATTTCATATTAATCTCTGAGAAGCTGGTATTTGGATAGGCTGACTGAACATCATTTTACGTGTTCTTTCATGGTGTTGCACTATATTCATCCAAAAATGGTTTTTGTTTCCTGCAATTCTTGCATCTTAGAAGTCCAATTAATCCGCTCTTTAGATTCTTAGACCAAGCTGAGAATTGTACTATTAAAGGTTCCTTCACGGAAAATAATATTGAAGCCAATTGGAGGTGCTGGTGATTAAATTGTCAGTTATACTGAACTAATTAGGAACTGTAATTCTTGGTGTTCATTGTTTATTCAGTTCTCAATGTTAAATTACACTCATGCATTTGGAGAGAAAAATCTGTCGGTGGAGTTACTTGAAGAAAATCTGAATTAATTATGAATAGCATATTCCATAGATCTTTTAAAAGAACCAGGTTGTGCTGTATTTTCCTTTAATTTTGTTGCTGACACTCGTTCTCCCATAAAACATCTTTTTCCTCCTAATTCATATAGCTCATCCAAAATTATTCATAGTACCTTTTTCTTTTTAAGAACGCTCACACAATACTACCAAATGAAATTATGGAATTTGGTTGCAGCAGAAATTGCTTTAAACATTCTTGCAGACTTGCCGATACTACCACTTTTTGCTAGTTGAGCTAAAGAATTATCCTTATTCTGATAACACTTTGGAAGAAAATCACGATAATTCTCCAGAATTACATCAAATATTATTTGGAATTGAGTTTTTCGGCACGTATTGCATCATTATTACCTTTTTTTGCGTTTGGAGACTTTGCTGAGTTCCCTCTGGTTTTTTTCTTTTCTTATATATGCCAATTATACTCTCCAATAGCGCATGTAGGGAAATTAATTATCAATCAAACAATCAAAATGCAATAAATATCTTTTGAAGAGCTTTGGGCCTGCCATTTTTTTTCAACAAATTACTCGATGGCCATGAGTCAGACAGTAATATGGGTTCGGATGGAATACAGGTTTATCAAATTACCTAGGTTAGTGATTATTGGTATTAGCTCTGGAAGTCAGCTCGTTCCCATTTCAGTTTTCTGAAATAGTACAGATTGTTTTGCATTTAGTTTGTGTGTCCAATTCATTATCAACTTCACACATTGGATGGCCGAATTCAAGGTTCTATAACCAAAGTCATAAACCGCTCTTTCAATTATTCTAAGAAAGCCTCTTTCAAACATATTTCCAAGTGAAATATATAGAGTCAATTCTATTTCATCATTTTCTTTATTTAGGTTTACTTCACCCATTTTGAATAATAGATTATCATTATACTAAATTATTATCATTATTTACATTTTCCCCTTAATTATTCAGTACAGTTTCTTTTTCGATTTTAAATGGGTACTATTTTTTCCTTCTTAGGAATTCCTTGAGAGTTTTCCAAAACAGCAGTTTACTACTTCAATTTGTTTTCAAGTGTTTTGTGTGTGAAGTAGAACTAATCAATTAAATACTTACCTGAGACAAGAGTTATGTTTGAATTCTGTCCAAACTAGTTTGGCAGGTCTGAATTTTTCTTGTGGTTTCATCTGTTTAGTTTCCCTCATTCATCAAATTGCATTCACCATAAATTCTTACCATATTATAGAAATCTTCCCGTTTTGTTTTGTTTTCATTCTGTCTTTAGATCTTGGTGGTCCCTCGCCCGTTTTCAATGCCCAACTGGTATGAAAAACTCAGTCAGTAAACAAAACCACCGTTTTAAAGTAAATTTAGTAATTAACCAGAAAATGATTGCTAACTTACTATAATGCTAAAAGTGGGGATACATATTCTTTAAAACATTGTAGCTGGAGAATTCATATGTAGTAGGGCTGGATGGAATATTGTAGTGGATAATTTATTAAATTGTTAATAATAAAGATTCTGTGATCTATGAAGTAAAATGGAGAAAGCGTGAAAGAAGACACATTTGATGTACTTTATTTCGCCAAGTTAATAGTGATTTAACCAAATCTTTTTATATTTATTTTGAATACTTTTTTCTTTTGAATAACACTACCCAAAACACCGTTCTATGAATCCAGGGAATGCGGTTGAGTCCGAATTTGTGTTGTCTAGCTACTAAAAATGCTCCATTGTGCAGTAAGATTTGGCTCTTGCCATATCTTTTAAAAACTATGTCATTTCAACAATAAGGAGATAGACTTATGAGATGCACAAGTACATCACTGTTCAACTGGTGGAAAAATAACCATCAGGAATCTGTGGTATGTGTTTGTGCAAAATTTATCACAATAAAACTAAGCACTCCATTTGCACCTCAGACCACAGAAACCTTAATGCACGATTTTATTTAGTGATAGGTGCCTCCCAAACTATTCAATCATCTTAGCAACCGCCATCAAAATGACTAATTTTGCCCCCAAAACCAGCCAAATAATTTGCTGATATGTTCTGATCCCCCACCGGAAAACCTTGTGAGTCGCACAGAAAACTCATTTCTTTATTCCATTTTGAGCTACCACTATAATTAGTAATTTCTTCAACTGCCCAAACCGTGGCTCACTAATTAAATCCTGTTATCCTATACTGCTTATGAAAGTCCCGTGCCATTTATACGACTCTTTCTTTTCTACCAAATTTAATCTCATCTCCCTTTCTTTCCGTCAATTCCATTTTTCAATCTAACTATCTCTTTCAACCGCCTCCACTCACTCACCTATTCACCGTATTTTCACTCCTTTCACTTACAACGTTTCTTTTCCAACTTGGTGTTATCCTTTTCTTCCACCAATCTTCGCCAATTCAATTCCATTTCAATTCCAATCCTCCTCCATCATTCTCTTCAATATCTTTGCAAATTCTTCCAATCCGTTCTTTACACTCTTTACACTCGCTATCCACAATTACTACTTCTTAATTTTTTCCTCCCATTCACTTCACACTTGTAATTCTTCTTCAATTTCACTGATTCTCTTTATTATTTTTGCTAATAATATTACATCACAATCACAATTTTTGCCTTTCCATCACTTTTCCCACCCTCTTCCTTGATATTTACTCAACCTTTACGGAAATTTTTTCCCTTTGCAAAATTTCTCTTTCTTCTACTGTATATCTCATCTATCGTCCACTTAATCTCCATTCATACAACTAACAACCTTAATATCTCCACCACCATTTTCACACTCTTTTCAATTTTCTTACTTGCTGTTCAATTTTCTCTATTTTCTTTTTGTATTTCAATTTATCTTTCCACCGTTCATTCCTTTAACAATCAACTTTTTCTCTCTTTAACCAAATTTTTACTTTTAGCTGCAAAAATTTCCATTTTTTTTTTTCTTCACATATACATCTACTATGCTGAATCTGCATCCCATTTTGCTTCCACTCCTCTCTTCATCTGCTTTACTTTTTCACTTTTTATTTCAATTCTACCCAACATCTTGAGCGCTCAACTGTTTATACTTTTCAATCCATCAATCAACCTTTTATGCTCCCCTGTTACAATTATCGATTCATTTATGATCGCCGTTCTTCCACCATCAATTTCACTACTTTTCTAAATCACCGTACAGTTAACATTTTACCACATCTTCATCTTCTTTCTATCACCTTTTTAATTTTCTTTTTCCCATTCTCCATTTTCTATTTTCCTACAATACTGTTCACTTATCCCTCTAACCCTTTCACCATTTTCACTTTACTGCATCTTTGTCTCGTTTCACTAATAATCCGTAGTTCAAGTTCAATATATCTTTTCATCCCCTTACGTTTCATTCATTCGTTCATTCATTCCGTTCTCCTGCTTTTCTTTCCAAAATTTATCTCCTCCTCCTTTATGCTTTCATCCCTCTCTCTCTCCTTTAAAATGTTTTTCATCTTTCATCTTTTCTTTATTACCACCCACTTTTACTATTTTATTTCAATCTCACAAATCCCACGCTCCATCAATTCTTTATTCTCATGCTAGCAATCCCTACTCTATCACAACATTCATTCTACTCTTGCTTTTCAGAATCAAAAATCTTCCTGTTACAACTGAAAAATGTCTACTTGCATCCTGCTTATCCACTCTGTCCCTTAATCATCACATACCTGACGGACCATCTCGCCCCCCGCACAACAATATTTTCATAATATCTGATACATCTCCATGTCCTATTCCACATCATGCTTCCAAATCAATCCGGGTAAATTTCCGTTATCCAATTCTTCGTTTTTGTTTCTTTCCACAATATATTTCATATTGTCAACATCTATGGCTATTCACCTTTAACACCCTCGCCCATCAACTGTTGTCCCTTTTTGCTATTTTTTGTTCGCCTTATATTCTCCAATTCATTTTCATTTTCATTTTCATTTCTTTTGTTTGTCTGACTGCACAACCTCATTTATATATTGTGGTTCGCTCTCACATATCAGAAAAATGGCAGACCAACTCCTACATGAAAATAACTTGGAACACCTTCTATTGTATCAACACCATTTGTCTCTTCAACTTCAAAGCAATATTGCGCGTCAATCACTTTCTCAACAGTACTTAGATTCCATATCCATTTCTTTAGAAAACATTGAATCAATAGCCGCCAAAATATTGTCTGACAATCAATCTCATTCAATACTTTTCATCCCCACTTCTAGCACCCTAGATGATGATTCTGACGCCCTTGATCACTCTGACTTATCCCTTGAAGTTCATCCAACGAACTGCCCTCACCGGCTTCCCAAAGCATATCATCTTTTAATGCTGTTTTTCCAAACCAAATATAAAGCAGCAGTCCAGGTATGTTTCCACTACTAATCAAATATTCTCTTACCGTCTTCTGATATTCCTACTAACTACAGATACTTCTTTTACACAGTGCTCTACAATTCGCACACATACTTCATCCACAACCTTGAACGTCTCCCCTTTGGCCGATGTCCGGTCAATGATTTTAGCAAACCAAAATAAAATTATGGACTATATCCTACAATCACATT